CGGTGTCTCCGACACGGTGGACCAGATGCTGGGGAACGCTTTTTGCTGGAATCGAACGGACTACGTGAGAATTCAGGTAAAATTGAAATTCTCCGGTTTTCTCTGCTTTCTCCGACACGCAAAGATTTTGTTTGTTTGGTTGCTGAGAAAATCCAAGAAAATAGACCCCAGACGAAGGAACGGAATTCACTTTTTTGACCCCCCAACTTTTGCTTTCTTCCTTTGATTTCCCAAATTAAAAAATTTCAATTTAGTCCCTGCATTTTTTAAAATAACAAAATGGGATTAAAATGAGATTATGCCTAAATTAGAATGCCGTTTTTTAAGGGCGTTAAAATTAACGTGCAGGCAAACGGCTTGGTGGAAGAAGGGGAGGTGTTAAAGGAGAGGGCAGTGGAAACGCTGCCGTTTGGCGGGAAGCGGTTACTAACGGAGAGTAACGGACAGAGAATCGAGAGCTTCGTGCAACGGCTGGTGGCGTCAGGGCGGAGCAGTCTGCCGCCGAGTCCATGCAAAAACCCGGCCGCCGTCAGCCCACTCGCAGCCCGTTAGGTTCTAATTTTATAAATATATTTTTTTCTTTTTTTTTTTGTTGGGAGGAAAAAGTTATTGTTGTTATTATTTTATTTGATCTTTTAATTTTAACGTGTAACCAATCTCAGGTTCACATTTTAACCCGTCTTCTTTTGAGTTAGTAGCAGCTAATTGAAGTTACTGTCTGTGTTAAATTGTTCATTAATTTTCTAATTAGTTAAAAGAAATTTTCAATTTTTACTCCCGATTCCCATAAGGTAAAAATCACCGAATTGAGGTTTAAACTTCAAATATTGCAATTTTGATCCATGCAAAAATTGTCTATTAGAATTCCACCCCGCCATCATTGAATTCAAAATTTAGTAATTTTTCTGGAATATCAAAAGTTCAAAATTAAGTTAGAGCGAGGTACAATTTTCACGATAGAAATAGGTCTCTTAAAACTCCCAAATTTAATTACAAAATTGGCTTTCTTTGAAACTCCATCAATTTCGTACCAAAGTTGTATCCTTTCAATTCATTAAACTCACTCGAGAATATTTATATGCAAAAACTTGATTTCCTATTTGGGGAATATGTGATTTAAATTTTAGAAGGTTAGAAAAAAGAAAAAGGGAGTAAGAAAAAAGAAAAGAGAACGTAAATTTAAAAAAAAAAATGTCGGTGGGAATTGGGATTGGACTCGACAGTTTGATTTGCGGGAGAAGTGGGATATCTGAAGGAAATCCCACTCCCCTCTCTCCCCCATTTTCTCTCTCTTCATTTATTTTTATTTTTTAAGTATAATTTCTTTTGGGTTTAAACTACTACATTTTTCACTGTATTTTTGTATTTGATTTATTACGTTAGCTTATCTTAGTTCATGTAAAAAACGGCTGTTTTAGTCTCTTTCATTTTCATCTTATTTAGATCGTAAGTTTAATATAATACTTTATTSATTAGTTTTTTTAGATTGTAGTCATAAATTTTATATATAAAAAAATCTATTATGTATAAAATTTGTAAAACATGTGGGGTGGGGAATTGAACTCATAATTTATATATGTTAATTAYCGTTGAGTTGTTCGCTTTAACAMATAGAAGAAATTGATCAACTTTTAGCAATATTAAGACTAGAATAGAAATTGTAAAAACACAATAATTAAARTGAATAAAATTGAAAGTATAGATAATAAAATAAACGAAAGTCAAAATAGAGGACCAAAATAGTATTTATTCTATTTAATATGGGTAAATTTTGAATTCATGAAACAAAATTAATATTATTCACATGTTGATATTAGGAGTGAGCATGCSAACYTGAAAAATCGAGTARATCGACTGAAACCGATTGAAAAGAGGTTGATCGGTCGGTTTTACCTGTTGGCGATTCGACGTCGATTCTGCGATCTCATAACCGACAAAGAGGTTGATAAGTCTAAGGTSGGTCGGTAGCCTTAGACCAATCAATACTGATCAACCGACCGACTATATAATATATATATGTGTTTAGTTATTAAGAAAAATTAAACATCCTAATTCCCAGGGTTCTTTCTTTGTTCTTTGCCAGTGCCGACACCGTGTTCTCTTCTCTCACTCAGTCACTCTCAGTCTCTCCCTACCGCTGTCACCGCCCAGTCCACCAACTCCCTTATTCTCCGTTCTCCATTATCGCGGCGTCACCCACCGCCCCCCTCTGTTCTCCCTCTTCCTTGCCGTCGTTGCCCAATCGCCCCCTCCATTGTAGTTATAGTAGTAGTAGAAAAATCGTCGATTTCGATGTATTTCGATGTCGAGATCGGCCGAAAATCGATCACACCGACCGATGATCAGCCCTAGTTCATATCTCATTTTCACTATTCAAATAGCTCGATGCAACCTATGGATTTTATTTTTCTTATTATCTATGGTGAAATGTTGATAAAATTTTAAAATGCTGATAAATACATCATATATTCGAATGTAGAGTCTAATAATTATGAGATCCTTGCAAAATTACAATGTTTTAAAAGAATATTAGTTGATTTGATGTTATCATAAACTGAGATCTGAAAATATCTCTCATTGTACATGTTGCCATTTTAAAATTTGCATATATTAATAAATAATCGTAGAAGTATCAATGAATCGAAAATATTGCAAAAGAAATATTAGAATTATTAATAATATAGTCATAAATATTAACACAGCAAAAAATAAATTTTATTTTAAAAGTTTTGATAATTGAGCATGTTGGCTTTGATAATTTTTTATTGTAATTTAATATTTAAATTCTTTAATGAAATAATTACGTATATTAAAATATATTTTTATATAATTTAGTTAAAAAAAAAACCTCATGTTTTAATAGATAATTTTCCTTTTAATCGTAAGTTGGAGCCGGCACCCTCTTGTTTTGGACTTGAAAAAGAAACACTTGATTGAGAAATATAACGAATATATGTTAAATATTAATTAAAGGCAATTTTGGAAAATAAAATTTGAAATTACTCAATTTTTTTTAAAATAATTTGTTTCATTAGTCTTCTTAAAAACATTAGTTTTTCTTTCAATAACAAAGAAAATTTAACTAAGCTAGAGATTAGTGCTTTTACTCAATTAAAAGTTCGTAATCAATACCAAATAGATTTAATTTCTTTTATTTATTTGCAATCCAAATCAAATTTCAGATTTTACAAAATTAGATAAATAAACAAAATTTAGACAAAAAAAAAACATATAAAATTAAGGTAAGATAATCCATATTCCCATAATTAAGGGTCTCACTTAGAGACATATCAATAATATCATACAATTAAAAAAAATTAAGAGTTCCATTTTTGTGAAAATTATGGGAAAAAAAAAGGAATAAGAAGGAGAGAGAGGAAGCAAGATTTGATTTTCAATTCAATCATGGCCGTTATTCTCTCTCTTGTCAATTTAATATTGCCTTTTATATCTTTTAAACAATATCATTGATATTAATTTTAGATCTATTCCAACATTATTTATAACTTTCATTCCAAAAAAACAATTTTTACAGCTCTCCTTATATTATTTCATCACTTTTATAAAATTATAATTTCCTTCACATATCCTATTTATTAATTTGAATGGTCCCTACTAAATGAATGGTATTAAACATAGCAGAAAATCAACGAGAGACTAATTTAGATTGACATGGCACCGATTTAGCCAATAATATTTTTATCAAAGACCGTGGAATTAAGCAAAAATTAAAGTTTTGAATCAAAATGGACAAATACATGAAAATAATTTCGTGTGACCTTAAATAATATTGAATTATTTACACTATTTTGCCACTAGTCTCTCTTGATTTGTTTTTCCCTCCTATTTTTAAAATTTTAATTAAAGAGATTTGGATGCATTGGAACAAGTTGGATAGATTCAAATTTCAAAACATACATAGTTGAGAGATGCAGCCATATGAACTTATCTTAAATTTATTGAAAAAAAGAATATTTCATTAATTTTTGGGTAAAGACAAGATTTTTAATTAAACATTAACAAATTAAATGTATCTTTCATGTGAGTCTCCATCACTGACCTTAATTTAATTATCCAACCTGGTTGATGTTGACACCCTTTTGCAAAATCCCTTATGACAAGAATCCTATGAACCTATATGTTTTATTCTTTGAAAAAAAAATAATTTTATTCGTCACAACTGACAATCTTTGATATTTCGAGTGTTATATCTATTTATTTTAGTACGATGGGTAAGAATCGGATAGAGATTTGAACTTACAATCTTAATTATTGGGTGATATGTTTTAACTCGTTCTRCTAGTTCAAGTTGATATTTTAATATGTTGATAAAATTTTGGATTAACTTTTATTTAATTCTTATCCTTTTGTAAAACGATTACAGAAAATATTTATCAATCTATATAGATGTTGGGTTGTTTATTTATATTTTTACTGTTAAATTTATTTTGAAAATGATATTGACGAGATGAGAACTATAGGATAACGACTATCGTGTAGGCTTCTACAGCTTTGTTTCGTTATTATTATTATTATTATTTCTTGGCATAAATATGTTTACTAGGTCACATGCATGCATTTTACTTGAAAAGAGAACATGGGATTGAAAAGGAATAATATAATGTATTTTCCATATAWATATAAATAAGTACTTTTATATCCTTACAAAATATAGCCACATTGTCTTTTTTTCCATGAATGACACAATTGAGATTTGAGATTTTTTGACTTATTATTCAATTTGAATTTTGGTATGTTTAAAAATTTAAATTTTGAATACAACATTTTGTAACATATACCATTTCTATTATTCTATTTTTGTGATTTTTATGATTAAATATAATTTTGTTATTAATATTTCTAATTTCTCCTTTTAATCCAACACGTGGGGTGGGGATCGAACTTCACAACCTCTTGGTTGGAGATATATGCCAACTATCGCTAAACTATGCTCGTTTTAATGCTCGATTCATGAGGATTTTTCTAACTTAGTTTTAAAGAGATATAATCTCATGATTAATCACTTTTTTAACCATAAGAGGGAGGTCATCTAGAATCCGCTGGCTCCAGAATCGGTGTTTGAGGGGATATCTCAGCTCCTTGCCACTTTTGTATGGTCTCTTATGATAACGAAAGCTAGTTATGTTATATTATATATTATATTAAAGTTCAAAACTTAAATGAGCTTGAAAATCTAAGGTTAAAATTAAATCTGCAAAATTTTCCTTCAAAATACCATTCTTGCTAACAACTTCCACTTCCATTATTAAAAAGAAAAAGATTATTTTAAAATTTTCACATCATAATTCTCTTAACATTTACTTTGAAAGACTTATATTTAAAAAAAAATTAATACTTAAAAGAATTTAATTGAAACTCTTAAAGATAAAAAGACAAATTAGAGATATTAACGATAAAATTACATATTTAGTAAGTTTTTATCTACATAAACTATTAAAGTGACTTAAACATGATTATTATTAAACAACTTCTAAAATTTTCTTAATTGGGCAAAAGTATTTCCGAATATGCAATTAAAAAGCTAGATTCTGTGGTAGAGAAGCTCCAAAGTTTAATTTTGTAAATTAATAGAGCTTATGATAGGCCTTTTTTTGCCTATTTAAAATAATAGTTCATTAATGGCAGCAGGGTCAATAAGCCATATCTCAAATTTAGTAATATAAATTAGTACAAAGAAAGACAGAGAGAAAAGAGGAAGTAGAAATTA